GATGCCTCAAAGGCTTTTTCCATTTCAGGTGAGATCCCACCCTCAAGTAGCCACGCAGGCGCCGTGGGCACAGGGATGAAGCACAATGACCCAGAGATGGAAACGCACACAAGCTGTATTTGCTGTTCCTGTTGTTAGGTGCTGTCCAGCGGATTCTGACTCATAGCAACCCCGTATGACAGGGCAAACTGTCTCTGGGGTTTTGTACTCATCAGGGGGGCAGCTCACCAGGCCTGTCTCTTAGGGTTGTAACCAACAGTGGTTGTTCATTCAATCGGCAAGTGTTTGAGGGACTTAAACATGCTAGGCACAGAGAAGATCAAGATTTAAGAACTCACTAAACAAAAGTTCATCAAGTGCCAACTACAAGCTCGATACTGTTCTGGGGGCCGGAGAGTTAGCAGTGAACCAAGTCCCTGCCTTTCCGGAGCTCACACTCAGTGGGAGATTACAGGCATGGCTGTCCTTCACTCTGCATTCAGAGTCGTAGACATGTGCACATGCCAAGGACTGCATAGGTTGAAAACAAAGGTGGGAACCCGAAGGTAAGAAGTGTATTATCACTGAGCAGTAGAAAGAGTTGGGAGAATGGTGGTCCTTTCCCTCAGTCCTGAACACAGGGACTTCTTGGAGCCATACCGGTGCCACTTAGTCCTGGCGTGGAACACCTTGGTTTGAGTCCCAGCTCCTAGCCTCCCATCAGCTTATGACCGACCCTGGACCAGTTACTATGCCTCAATTTCTGATTCAGTCTGCCTGACAGGACCTGCTCCAACGTCGGCCATGGTAATTAGTACATCTCTTCCCAACGACTTAAAAGTAAATAAAAATAAAAACAGTCAACAGCCTCAGGACAATGTGTTATTAAAAACATTTGGTCAGACACATTAAATGGCCTCTCTTCACCTGAAACAGCAGAGGCAGGAGGAAAGCCGAGGATCAGAGGCAGCGGACTACAGTTTGAACTGTGTCCAGGAACCTCACCTCTTCATCCCTGAGACCAGAAGAAACGGATGGTGCCCAGTCACCATCACTAAGTGTTTTGATCAAGGATCCAAGGAGGGAGATGGGGGCGAACCTGAAATTCACACAGAAACGACTTACTGGTTCTAGTAGAGTAGGGAAAGTCTCAAATCTGTTGCCCAGAAAGAATCTTTAAACCTTAAATCAAAACTATCCTAGGAAACCATTGCTAAACTAAACAACAATTTGTTGTTGTTAACTGCTTGAGTTGGTTCCAACCCAGAATGACCCTGTACAGTTTCCCGGAGCAGCTGCTGGGTTTGAACCGCTGAGCTGGCAGCTAGTAGTCCAGTACTTACCCGACAAAAGTTCACCTGAATTCCAGTTACGGACTTTAAGGGACAAAGCATGAATTAACACACTGCTATTGTTAAAAAGCAAAGTGACAAAGTGGGTGGGAAAGGTGACGCTGTGTCTAGTATGTACCTGTGTCACTGGACCATACATGCAGAACAATACACAGCACATTGTGTGTACTGCCACCCAAAATCAACACACAGAACACATTTAGTCTCACAAGGATGCTCACACAACCAGAATGGAACCAGTGCAACTGAGTTGTACAAGCCGAAACTACTGGGACATGCATTTTGTTATGTATATTTTTACCCCTATTTTTTAAAAAGGTTTTTGGACACCCACAAATATATAAAGGTTTGATGGGCTATCTGAATAAGGGTATCTACTTTTGCCACAAACATACGCATGAATGTGTTGAATACTAGGGACACAATGAGGAATGCCACCTTAGATGTCACCAAACACTTGAACTTTAAAAACGGAATATGTTGCTGGGCCTGGGGGGCTCAGGACCATAGTCTCGGGGACACCATGGTCAACTGGCATAACACAGTCCACAAAGACAACGTTGTACATCCTACTCTGGTGAGAAGCAACTGGGATCTTAAAAGATGAGCAGCCTGGAGACAGGGACAATGGCATGGAGAGATTAGAGCGGCTGGGGACACTTGACTCAGGGAGGGAGAGGGGCTGTGTGCTGATGGCCGGGGGGCGGGCCTGTGGGGTGTACCCTTTGGTTATTTGATGATGCATGAGGAGATTGTAATCATTGTACTGAAACGAAATACAGTAGGATGAATATAAAACAGATTATTATTCCATGTAAACTTCACAACAAAAACTTATTTAAAAAAAAAAAAGATGAGTAGCCATCCAGAGTGCAGCTATTGGCCTCTCCCCACCTGGAGGAAAGGGTGATGAGAATTGTAGACACTTGGAAACAAGGAGCCCAATGGACCAGTGGACCACATGACCATTAGTCTCCAAGACCCTGAGATCACATTACAAGGTCCTGGATAAGAATAGGAGAAAATGTGAACAAAACTCAAAATTATAAAAAAAAGATCAGGTTTACTGATCAGAGAGGAACAAGAGGAACCCAAGACTATGGTCCTTGACCACCCTTCAGGTCTGAAACTGATCACCCCTCATGTCTCAATTTCCAGACAAGTGGGAGACAGACACAGGGGGACAACACTGGTGAGATAGACACACCACGGAGTGACCAACCATTCCAGACCAAAAGGGCAGCATTGACCCAAGGACAAGACTCCCAGGGAGGTAGCAGAATACCTGATGTCACATGGAGGGGACTGCAATCACTGTAATAAGTCTATGATTTGTTGGATGGAAAACTGATGATCCGCTCTGTAAACCCGCTCATTACGCAGTAAAAAGTTAAAGAACAACTAAGAGTTCGTGTCTCCCTAGGTCACCCCTATGATTACTAACCCAGAAGCGTTTGCAAAAGCACCATGCGTCCCTGAGACTTCATTATTCACGCCATCACTAAGGCATCATGCACATGGAAACCCGATTCGCCTCCTGGCTGGCGGCACGTACAGCAGACTGCGCTACGGGATGGGCAGCCTCCTTCAGGTGCCTTCTCACCACTCTCACCCATGTTTCCTGGTCCTTACTTCCTCCCCTGACTCGAGATAGTCACAGACAAAGGGACCAAGACCATGGCTGCTCATTTTTCCTGAAGGAGTTGGACACCAAAGTTCAAAGTCCAGGTTAAGCTGGGGAGCAACAAGGCAGTACTGCTGAGAGGCCTTCAAGGTCAGCACTCCTACAGGACACTCCTGCTGTCAGACCTCGGGCAGAGGAGAGACCCTGTTATTCACGACCACTCCCTCTGGACTCAGACCCTGCCTTGCTTCCTCGAAGGTTAGTGAGAAGCTGGTCCATGTTCGGCTGCTGAGGCTCACTCTTCCCCTCCCCTCAGTAAACGCTTAGTTTCTGGGGGCCCCACACGGCTCACCCGTGTTCCCACATTCACTACAGTGTTACTTGCGTTCACCCAACACTAGAGACCACCTGACCCAGAATGGCCACAGCTGCACGACCAATGGTAAAACAGCAAAATGAGGAGACGCTAGCTTCCCGCCTGTGGTGTTCCTGCGACCGATTTCAATCTCAGCAAGGTGTAATATCCGACAAGCCCAACATACGGGATCTTAGATGAAATCGCTGGCCTGTGATCCTCCAACAATGTTCATGTTGTGAGGTTTTGGTTTGGTACAAGTAGTTGAAGGAGCTGAATGGGTCGCTGTGGGTCAGAACCGGTTGAGTCCGAAGTGACTGAACCACAGTGAGTGAGTGACATTACCATGTTGGCATTCTCATCTTCTCCATTCTGGCTGTTCTGTTTTCATTCCTCTAGCTTCCCTGCTTCTCTTACCTTCTCATCTTTGGTCTAGAGTCAAAGCTGATCGTTAGGTCTTATTCAGAGAGTTGTCCAGAGGAGCAGCTGAAATCTGTTTTTGGGCGGACAGGTGACCGCTTGGAGGAGTTTGAATTCCAAATGTAAAGAGCATCCCAGGGAGACTATAAGGAGTTCCTCTAGTCTCGATAGTCCTGTAATTGTGTGCTGGTTTAGAATTGGTGCTTGGGTTATGGCGCCTACATTGGTATATACGTTGAGTAGTTACAACAGCTATTTCAGAAGTCTGTGAGTGGGTGAGGAGTTGCTTTCATTTTCTGATGTACATTTCTATAACGCCTGCATTTTTAGTGAAGAACATAATTTTTACAACCAGACATACTAAAAATGAAATGCTTATTTTCTGCCTGCAGTACAGTGCAGAGGGGTTTGTTAGACTTGGTTTCATGTCACTCACTCTGGGACCCTGTAGTCCTCAGGCTCCATACTGGGGCCACGAGCAGCTGCCAGTTTGGACTGGGTTCAAAGGTAAAGGTGACAGATACTCTAGCTGAAGAAAAACAGAGTCTGTACGAGGTGACGAAAACTTGTGGAAACGGATGGCAGTGATGTCACTGAACTGCACACTTAGCCGTGATTAGAATGGAGAGCTGTCTGTGACATTCTTCCCCCACAGGGAAAATGGATCCAGCAGGACTTGAGGGTCCAGATTTTTCAGAGACCCAGATGGTGTAGCGGCCCCAGGCCTTATAAGGTGACAAGAAAAGGAGAGGATCCTGCCGCCCTAAATGAACCAAGGGCAGTGCTATCAGGGACAGCCAGCCCAGACATGAGGCCCTTTGCCACACCAAACACAGGACGAGAAACGGTCTAGGTGGCCTCAGGGGATGACCTGGTGGCCATCAGGCACCTACCACCAACAACCAAAAGCTTTTCAGAGGAGTCTGCTCAGCACTCTCCTGGTTCAGAGCATATGAGAGAGAGAATTGGTCCTTGAGGAATCTAAAGCCCCGGGAGTATGGTCAAGTAAGGGGTTAACAGTACAACCAAACACACAGGGGTGGGGGTGGGGGGTCCAAAAGACACTTAACTGTGTTTTGGGGAGCAACTAGTTTCAGATGCAAACCAATTAATAATAACAGAGAAAAAACCCTGAATTGCTGTTCTTATAAAGAAAATGAATTACTGACTGAGATTTTTTTTTACCAGAAACAGTATAAATGAAGTAGTACTAACCCTTACCTCGGACCTGGCACTGACTGGACAGCAGCGGGTCGGGTTTGACGCTTACCTGGGAATCGTCTGTATGATGAAGACATCCTGGCCACGCACAGATTCTTTTATTTCAACTCTTGTTTCTGAAAAACAAACATGTTCTCAAGTTTTAAGAAAAGTACTTTATGATACAATAATCATTAGGTTGTCATTTGGAGGGAATCCTGGTGTGGCGCTGTGGGTTAACGTGCTGGACTGCAAAGTTGGTTTGAACCGCAAGGTTGGTGGTTCAAGCTCACCAGCCACTTCTCGGAAACTCTATACGGGGTCACTATGGGTTGGAACCAACTCGACAGCACTTCACAATAACAACAAAAATCAATTTGATCAAAACAACAATGAGATATCATCTCACACCAACAATAACAGCAAAGATGAAAAAAGTGGGCGACAATAAATGCTGGCAGGGATGTGGAGAGACTGGGACACTCCTGCATTGCTGGTGGGACTGCAAAATGGTCCAACCTCTCTGGAAAGCAATATGGCGCTTCCTCAGAAGGTTGAAAATAGAAACACCTTATGATCCAGCAATTCCTCTACTTGGTATTTACCCACAAGAAAAAAGAGCCACAATCCGAGAAGATATATGCACACCAATGTTCATAGCAGCACTATTTACAATAGCAAAAAGATGGAGACAACCAAAGTGCCCATCAGCTGAAGAATGGATAAACAAAAAATACTATGCTACCCTGAAGAATAACAAGGAAGCGGCAAGCCACCGCATAACATGGATGAACCTTGAGGACATTATGCTGAGTGAAATTAGTCACAAAAAGAGAAATACTGCATAGGACCACTGCTGTAAAAGACTAAGAAAAAGAAACCATACTTGAGGGGGGTAGGGGAAATGTTTTTGTTGATTGCTGGGAAGTTGGTGGTGGGTGAGGGGAGGGAGGGGAAGGTGGAGCACAGGGTAGGGATTAGACACAGGAAAGTTTGGGTGCTAGGGAGGGGGGCAATATACAAGGAGGGAGAGGGGAATGGAAGAACAAAGCAGATGGGAGAACAATTAGGCAAGTTTGAATGGACTAAGTGGGACAGAGATAAAGAATGGTGCATGCACAACCTTGGAACTACAGGGCTCTGGGAGACAGAGATTGACCCATGGTTGGAATGGGGAAAAGGGGGGAATGATGTTAAGATGCTAGGCAGTCTTTTGAATCTTGGTTTTCCTTGCATTATAATATAAAATAGACACCCGAGGGGGAGAGAAAGGAATAGTCAGAAACATCACCATAGAAAGCTTGTAAGTCCGACTTCTGCCTATAACTAATTGGAATACCTAAAATGGGGCTACAAAGTGCACAGGGAAGGAGGCTTCCTGCGGAACCTCTGCAATACATAAGACTATAGGTAGAAGCCTGAACTACATCCAGATCTCCAGAGATGGGAAATTTCCACTTGAAAGGACAAGCAGACCAACCTGGAGCAGCTAGAAGAACAGAAGATACTTCTTGAAAGAAAGACCTACAGGGAAAAACACAAAACAATAGAGGCAGATGGACTGTTACTATAAGAACAAACAAATTGCTTGCCGAGGAAACATCAAGGCAAGTGGTTGGGTCCCCTTAATGCAAAACAAACCCCCTTCCAAGACTAAGACTCAACGGAAATACGCGCCCTGATTGGTGACCACAAGCATCGCCAATAGGGGGAAGTGGGGTAAAAACAGCAATGAAGAGGCAAGCTAAGCCTTACAATGTTCGGTGGACTTCTGTGGACCCAGATGGGGACCTGGTTGGCCAGCAGTTTGGGGAGACCTGGGGACTCCTGAGCCCAGAGTCAGCAGCGTGGCCACAGAGGACTAGAGTGGAGAGTGAAGCTACCAGCTGATAGGGAGGGCACACACACAAGAACACCCACACTTGCAGATGGTACCCACATGACCTGGTCCCGATGAATGGATAATCAGAACTCAACCAGGAGAAGAAAGAAGAGAGAGAAAAAACAAAAAGTGATCTGAGACAATTTGATGAACTTGATCTACACCTGTGGACACAGTAACCCAAGAGGGAACAAACCCTCACAGCAAGAAACATTCCCACCTCCTCCACACACAGAGTAGACAGAGATGGGCAACTTGGACATTGGATACCCAAATTTGGGGTGGGGGTGGGGGTACCACAAATGCAAGAAGTGACTGGCTTACAAGCTTTCAACAGGGAACCTAGAGCTAGGGGGCATGGAGGAAGGCAGATTCTCCAATGAGTACTATCCAATCTGTCTAGGTGGAGCTGATGAAATGAAATGCAGAAGGGTCAATTGTGATACAATAGTGAATGACTATTATCAGGACTGATTGTGAGGGTTGGAAATGTAAAGGTAGACGTTATGTAGCAAAGAAGGGAGTTATTAACTCTCCAGTCTAGGAGCGGAGGTCTCTGGGACCATCAACGGAGAAGAGCCGAGAACGGGACCCTACCCAGAGAAGCAGCAAGGCCTGAGATAGAGGCAGAGACGATGACATGGAGTGATGAAGCAGAAGGGGACTTTGGATCCAGAGAGGGAGAGGAACTGAGTCCTGAAGACGGGCGTGGGGGGTGACGGGAGTATAGGGGATGGGCTTATAGGGTATACCCTTTGGTAGGTTGATGATGCATGGAACGGATTGGAACCATGGCAATGAGACAGTATACGATGGAATGAATGTAAAACTAAAGTTCTCTCATGTAAAATATCATATAATTCACAATAAAACATGAAAAAAAAAAAAAAAAAATCCATTTGAACCACAGCTCACTTGGTGGTTGTTGTTGGGAAGTGCTGTCGAGTCGATTCCAACCTATAGTGACCCTGTATAAGGTTTCTGAGGAAAGCTCACTTAGTACACACAAAATTAAAAAAAAACACAAACATTTCTGTCGCGGTGATTCTGACTCGCAGCAGTGACCCTAGTAGACAGAGATGAACTGTCCCCCCAGGGTTTCCAAGGCTGTCGTCTTCATGGTTCTCCTGCGGAGCAGCTGGTGGGCTCTAACCACCAAGGTTTCAGTAAACAGCCGAGCACTCAACCACTGGGGTACCCGTAGGGACTGAACACCCCAAAATGGCCACACTAATGTCAACCCCGGAGAAATGCTTCTCATTTCCCTCTCCCCTGCCCTCTCTAGCCTACTTCCTTGTGCTGTGCACTGATACTGTGTTCCCATGGACTAGCTACTTACCTACTAGGGAGGAGCAGGCGGTGGGCATGGGCTGTATCTCTGCTTTTCCCATGAGTCTTGGCTGGAGATAGGACTCTCCTCACACCAGCCCCTCCCTTCTTTCCTGGAACAAGGCCTTGTTTACCACATAGCCTAGAAGGGGCCCGCAAGGCCGGCCTGGTGTGGAAAATCATGGCTGTTCAGCTAGTCACCACTGGAAACCATCGCTGTTCTTGTCCCACCTGTAAGTCTCCCCATTTAGAAACTGCATTGTTCTGTAATAAACTAGTGTCTACTGGACTGTCTCCTGGTCACTTTCTTGTTCTCTTGGTGAATACCCACAGTGAAGGGCTCTCCCTTCTGGGCCTCAGCCCAAACAGCCCCACAGAGTTCAGAATTATGTTACACACAGTTGCTGTTGTTGTTGTTAAGTGTTGTTGAGTCGGTTCCGACCTATAGGGACCCTGAACAGGGTTTCCGAGGCTGTAAATCTTTATGGGAGCAGAAAGCCTCATTTTTCTCTTGCGGAGTAGCTGATAGTTTCGAACTGCTGACCTTGAGGTTCACAGCCCAATTCGTAACCACTATGCTACCAGAGCTCCTATGCTACACACAGACACAGTAGGGGACTTCAAAAAGCTCACAGAAAATGGAATAAAAAGAATGAATTTTTCAAGTTTGAAATAGCAACACTGTCTGACCCAGCAATCCTTCTGCTCGGTATACATCCCCAAGAAATCAGAGCTATGACCAACTAGATCCATGCACACTGTGCTCACCGCAGCACCGTTCACAATAGCAAAAAGATGGAAACGGTCTAAATGCCCATCAATGGAAGGATGGCTAAACATACACACAATGAAACACTACACAACACTGAAGAATAACCATGACACTTCATAACATGGATGAACCTGGAGAACATTATGCTGAGTGAAATTGAAATCAGTCAGTAACAAAAGGGCAAATATTGTATGAAACTACTTCTGTAAAATGTCAAGAAAAGGTTTTCATGCTAAAAGAAACATTCTCTGGTGGTTCAGGGTTGGGAGGGAAGGGAAAGTCATTCACTGGCTGGAGGGTAAACATGTGCTAACTCAGGTGATGGGGAAGGCAATATATAGGATGGAGGCTGGTGGAAGAATGGAAGACAGGTGAAGACACAGGGAGGAATGCAAGGGTTAAAGAGGATAAAGGTAAATACTGGTGTAGACACAACCCTGCAACAACAGTGTTCTCCAGATGGACACATGCACAGACACACAGGATGAACACGTATGGGAGGGAGAGTGGAAGAATACCCACAAATACATCAGGGCTGACAGAGGATCTATGAATATGGTGGAGCACAGGGGACAAACGACGGAAACTTAGATATTACCAAATGCTCTGAGTCGACAAGAAGCGGTTGGGCCTAGGGGCTCAAAGAACCTTATGGTCAGCTGGCATAGCTGGTCCACGAAGACGAAGTCTGGCAACCTGCTTTGGTGAGTACTAAGTGGGATGGTAAAGGCTCCATCAAGGGGCAGCTACCAGCCTCACCATGTGTGGAGGAAAGACAGTGGTGAGAAGCAAAGCTAGTGTCTGGCTCCACTCCCAAATGCTCTGAAAGGCCTCGGATAGAGTAGGAGACAATGTGAAACAAACTCAAAATAAAAATTAAAAAACCAAAAAACTTGGCTTACTAGTCAGAAAGACTGGAGACTACGAGCCGCAGCCGCCCTTTCAGTTCCAGAAGTGAACTCACCCTCATGGCCCAATTTCCAACTAAGTGAGCTACGTCTATAATAGGGGCCAACAACCCTGGTAAGGTGTGCTCACCAGTCAACATCAAAAAGGCAACATTTCCCTAAGGACAAAGGACAAAGGCCTAGAAGGAGGGTGGACTGGCAACAAGAACCCCAGGGAGGAAGCAAGATCACTGTTGTTACACGGAG